AACAAAAAAAAAAAAAAACAAAGACGAGATAAGACGAAAGAATCAATTATTCTAAATTGTCAAATGAAATATAGGATACCAGCTGAATTTTAAATATTATTATTTCAAAAAACAGTGTCAATAAAACATTCTTTTCTCCAGGCATGTCTCTAGCCTAAATTCTTAATTGTTGAATGCAAATTTAGAAGGTTACAAAGTAGCTCAAATGAAAGGTTGCCGTTTTGATGGTTTGACAAGAGATGAAGCAACAAGTTGTAGGGCTAAGCAAAGCATTGACTTTAGCACGACTGCTCTAATTATAGACGTCAGGAACCAACGAGATCAAGTTGATAGCGACTCGCAACCTTTCTCTACAGTAATAAACGTTGGGAAAAAAGTGTTTAGATAGATATCATTTCTGAGAATTAAATTACAACGCTATTATCAATCCACAGGTAGGATATTCCGAAGCTTACTCATAAGATTAAAGTAAAACTTTTATCATCACCGAAGCTATTACAAGTTAGATGGAAGAATAAATTCCGAAGATAATTCGCAATCGCACCTGCACAACATTACGTTGTCCCATTACTACTTGACAACTTGACTCACACTGTATAGATAGAAATGGTGAGAAGGCAACCTCTCTGCAAATCACGCACTGAATTACACATGATATAAACCAGATGTGTTTAATTAATTGGATAAACGGCATTGGCGACTATCTAGTTTTTAAACGTCTCGATCTTGTTACCTCTGATGTTTTCAGCACACATAATTAACAGTGCAGTACCACCACTGGAAACATCAGAGAAAAGAATAAGCTCTTAGTAATTGTTTACACAGCTATTTGCGACTGACCTCTGATCCGTTAAATGGTAACATCACTTTTTCCATCAAAAATTTTTATCTATCTAATTTTTAAAAAACTTTTATATTCACGTCTATTTGCTGCAGAAAATAATCTATTTTAGTTGATATCATTTATGTATGAGGTAATAGCGAACAATTCATATTAAATGATGGAAGAGAAATGATGTCTTTTATTTTCATCAGATTTAAACAGAATCAAGAAAGTACAGCTTACCTATTCGTGTAAGATTTGCTTGTTATGTTTGTGTGACATATCTTTTCTTTATTCTTTTATATCGCTCTACGAGAACAACAAAGCAAATAAATTTAATCATCTTTTGTAAATTCCTTCTTTATATATTTATCAACTAATAAATATGTGAAATATTTTATAAATCTGTAAATTAAATTTAAACACAAACATAAATTATGTGAAGTTTTTAAAATGAATTTTTAACACAAGAAAAAAATATATATAATTTTTCCCATTTTAACACATTACCAATTAAAATTATTCTGAAGTTTAAAGAATAAAATAAAATAATCGATCGCTATCAAAAATATTCTGATCTTAAATTTCAATCTTTTTAAAACTAATGTTAGATGTGTCAAACTACTTACAACTTTTTTGTTATGATAAATGATAGTTAGATACGAGTATTTCGAATAAATCCTATCTTAGAAAATAAGTATAAGTCAATAGAAGTTAATCCTTTAATTTTAAAAATAAGACTCATCATTTATGTATACGTCTGTTAAACAATGAGGTAAAATTTTAAAATCAATATTAATGTCCTTTCGTTAATTGACAGAGAATCATGAAAAAAAACCCCTTCGAAAGAAATAAAAACGAGAACACCTGTCTTATAAACTACATTTATATTGGATCAAACAAAGTCGATTTATGTTTCCATATAATAATATCGGTAAAATATTTATATTCGAGACATTAAAGATATCTCTATTATTTCGATTCATTTAAAAATTTAAAATAAATTTTAAAATTGTAAAGTTTTAAAAAATTTAAATTAAATGCAAGCGTATCAAACAATCAGAATAAATGTTATAACTCGCAAATATCCAGTCAGGTAAGAACTCGCGATTAGGTAAAATCCCGGACTCTACTGTCACACCAAGTCACGGATGTCTGTGGTTTAAGTACTGGTTTCAATTATAGAGCCTTGACCTCATCCAGTCATCCCTCTTCGGTTTATATTTATCCAAAAAAACGTAATACTTTTCCGTAGCGTAACCTAGACAATTCATCGAAAAATCGTTTGTTTTAAGTCAGGATCGTAGAGCCGAGAAAGATGACGTCATCATTGGAGAGAAATCGATTCTAAACAGGCCTAGATACAGTGTATAGGCCTGTATTCAAATAAGACTATCCTTTTGTTCGCAGGACAGCGTAAAGCACTGAATGAGAGAGCGAAACTTATGTAGACAACCTATCTCCACGATGATTACACAACACGTTATCGATCTGTCTTTTGTCAATAATCGATTATGCCAACTGTAAATATTAACTCACGCATCCATCCTAAATAACCGTGTAACTCTCGCCGATCGCTTTCTGTCAACATAATTTGGATCAATGTAATGTGTAGGGCTGCATTTGTCAACTAAGTTTTTCTTATGTTAAATGTGTACTTAATCAGGACTTTTTCACGCACGATGTTTTCAATTAACCAAATTATGTTTAAGAGCCGCAAACTGACGGAAAAGTTGTTGGTTATATGAATTACATTTATCTATTCGAATATGCATTTTGCTTGGAAATCAAAAAGAAAAAAAGAGACGAGTAGTTCATTCTCGGACAAATTGTTCTTTAAATCGGAGTTACTTTCACCGAATGAGCCTGCCGGATCGCCCGCCAGCGTAGGGACATCAGTGCAGGGCGGGGAACTAGTCACGCAATTCAAGTAACACGAACCTACAATAACTACGAAAGGCTTAAGATATTTTGAAAGTTTTGGTTTTCAATTTAGAAAATATATCATTTTTATATTCAAAAACTTATCGAACCGATTGATTTAAAACGTGCATTGGTATTACTTAACTGTATATGCCCCTCACTCTCCTTTCCCCTATCTCCTCAATTCTGATAAACCGATCGGGCATGTTTGGGGAAATGGTATCGTCCACAGTATGCGACATTCCCACATCTAACTAGTATGCCTCCTCTAGTCGCAGCTGTTCATCCCGTTTCCCTCTATCCTGTCATCAACAAAGTCCAACGATATTGACAATATACAGTATGCAAACACATTAATGATTAATGACATAAACAACATTAACTATACACTTTATTCTAAATTAATAATTAATATATAATACAAAATGATTATCCTATATTTAACATAAACTGGTAAATACTAAAATTAAGACTAGGCTAAGTAGACTATTTTTAAAGTCAGATAAGGCATGGATGGTCCGCGTCTGAAACTTTCTCCCTGGGCTCCGTCCTTTATAACGCGTGCAAATAAAGTTATAAATTAGAACTTTGGACTAGGGTATTATCCAAGAAAACGTAAACAAACACAAGAAACCATGTGGCCACTTTGTCGGATTAAATACTAGATTATATCCATTTGGAGATTCGAGCGATTGATAAAAAAAAAATCATAATTTATTACCTAACGAGTTATTTTCGTTAGTAAACGCATTTCGAGTTAATCCAAAGATGTTACGGCAAATGAGAACTAAGAGTAGATCTATGACGGTTGCATAGCGGTACCCGTGTTAATGCCGACGCCCTCGGCGGCCAACAGCACCGTGACGCACCGACTAAGCCTAACAGTCGGTGCCCACCAACACCGTGGCGAGTACCGTGCAGCAGTTTTAAACTGAAAATCCGGACCGCGGGAGGAAACCGAAAACAATCCGGAGAAAAAGTAATAGCAAGTAGTAAATCCTGAGGTTCACATATAGCGGGAGAGAGCGATGAACTGCTACGTCACAGCAGAGTTCAAAGGTCACCGATAAAAGTCCATAAGGTACGGAGGATACGGGAGACGGAATGGGACAGACTGTCAGATTCCAAAGCGGAGTTACGGACGGACCCCCGCGCCGACGGAGACAGCCCACCACACACAGACCAGATAGGAAACTGTCTCCACAAGCCGTGCTACAGTACGTACAATCTATGATAGAATGGAAAGCAATAGCCATACTCTACCTTGTCCGCTGCTCAGCCCTCGGTCAGAATGAGATGATTGGACGTCATCTGAATGTTGCCATAGAACCTGACCTCATTATGATATTCAAATAGCAAAGGAAACGCTGGCTATAAATGAATGTTTGCAGTCGTACACAGATTGGCTGACTAGGACGAGGCTGTTACTCGCCTGGAGCGGCCATTAGCATTGCATTTGCTGTCTCGCACATTCCTGTTTCGCACCTAAAAATGATTCTGGATTTTTATTGGCGAACTCGTCTCTTGTTTATGACTGCGCCTGTCAATCTTGTACCGGGATAATGCAAATGCTCTCTTCGGGTTTGTCGTTGTACGGTGAATAGGATGTCTGGTGTTCCTTGCGCCATCGACATCTTAGCGCATAGCCGACCGGAGCCTGTTAGAATAAGTAGATGGAAGTTTGCAAATTTAAATTCTAACATACATGCGCAGTATGAGGGTAGCCACCCTCCTAAGCCATGGGCGTCGACGTTTATCATAATCATCGTACAGTATTCTCTCCCATAAGCAGTTGGAAGGGCAGAATCGAAAATGGCGGGATTTTAAAAAATTTAAAGTTTTCAAAATGTTAAATAGCGACCAACCCGACCGTGTTAAAATTAGGGGTGAAGGATCCTACTTCGATTTTTACATCAAACTCGTTTTCTAAACTAATATATATTTTAAACTTTAAAATATATGTATTTTGATCATTGTGGTGCCAAGTTGAAACGGTGACAGAAAAGAAAAATTTTGAATTCGTTTTTCAAAAATAATTCCTTTTGAAAGAAAGTAAACAATAGTCTTAAACAAATCCGATTTATTTTATAAATAGCAATATATATCTATAGTCCTGTAATCTAACGGAAAAATAATCTGAATCGAAGCGTAATGTCAGTCCGTGTGGTATCTCAGTATAGACAGAAAAGGGAAATTCTAGGACTAAAGTCACGCAGTGGGTTGTATGGAGCACTTAAAGCTTGTTGGTACTTACGTTACCAGCCAATAGACTGTTCGCTCTCCATGCCGAGAATTTGGCCACCACCGATCAGCTGGCCACTACTGGTGAGTGCCCACTGTCGATTTTAGTAGAACGGCGCTGTGCAGTGTCACTGACTGACCACACCTCCTCGCTCTAGTCTGAAGAACTCTACACACACACACATATAGCCTACACACTATGTCCAGTAGAGATGGGGCGACTGGAAGAAGGTCCTTCCGACTGGGAAATAATTTATCCAGGTAAGTGTAAGACGTATGTGACAATTCCGTATAGCCGATTGTTTCTACTCTGATTTAATGTTGCATCCCCGCGGACTTTTCACAGATATAGAAAACACACATAACGAGGTACCAAAAGAAAAATAAACATTTCTGTCCCAGTGTTGGCCTTGGGTGGTAAAACACGGTCACGCAGGCCTAAGCATCGGATTACACACTCATACATTACGTGAGCTTCGCCCAAACAAACGAGACCGAGCCCGCACAAGACCGGATATAACACTCTAGACCCGTCAGGCTTCACCGTCCGTTCGTCTGTTAGGCCTACGGTACAATAATGTTGTAGTGCACAGGCGCCGAGCAAGCCTCTCACTCGGACCGCCCCTCCTTTGAGGCACGCCACTGTTTCAACGCCATGGGACTCGGGTGCGAGCCTAGCCTCCTGCAGTCGGATATGGTCGTCCCTCACGCGGATCCAACCAACTAGCCTAAGCTTTTACGTAACATACATGTGATTGCCTACAGCAACTGCTTTTCTCCCGTCACCGGCTCATCTAACTAGTGTACTTTGTCCGACTAAACTAGCGTTGACACGTCAGTGGGACCGCCGACAACTTGTCTGCCAGCGGGAGACCCCCCAAAAAAATCTCTCTTTTTCTAATTCGTAATTTTATAATCACGCGTTAAGACAAAGGATCCTACCAATAACTATATCATCACGCGTAATCTTTCTACTTATAAATATCCGTAAATATATACATTTTTCATTTCGGAAACGCCAATCAGATACTCACGTGAGCTATTTATTAAATCGCTCCAATTAGTATTTATTAAAATGTGTTTTTTTCGCCAGTAAATTACAATAAACGTTAAATAACAGATGGGTTACGAAGTATAAAAAAGCCATTCAAAACAAACAACACACAATCAGAAGTCTTTATCAGATGATTGTATTACGAAATGAGCGTCTTACCTGAGTCATCCTTATTGTTGATCATTGAGCATCGCGTCCATCCGGGTTGTGTAAATTGACAAAACCCCGTAGCCTGTAATTCAAGAAGCGACACAAGTTAAAAATGTCCTGAAGTTGTGACTCATGCCAGACCTCCCCCACCTCGTGCTCAAGGGCAGTTCTCTTTCTGTTCATCCGATTCTCGTAGCATGATAGGCGATCGTAACGCAACTGTTTCCGATGAATAGCACGTTTTTGTGTGAGCCAGACGTACGGCGATAGCGCCAACCTTTTAAAACGACCGTGTGCGAAAGTGTGTGCGTTTTCATTGAACTAATTAATTATTCCGTTGGAAGAAAAATTGCTTTTTCCAATTGCGCATGCTCGTTGCGACCCACATCCGTCACGGGGATTGTGGGTATATGGCGATGATGTGGAGCGAGCTGGAGGTGAGTTCTTAGTCCAGCAAACTTTCCCTTTAAATTACGTTTGCATACGAATTGTCATCTTACCGTAATTGTCTTTTGGCTTCTTTAAGTTCTATTCCTTTCATTCCAACTTAAAATCTATAGGTATTTGGTATTGCTTTTTTAAAAAAATACAAAAGATACAAGTTAGGACTAAATGATCGATCACAAAGTTAATATTTTAAAATAACTTCAGCAATTATTTTAGCAATTAAAATATAATTAATCCGCTAATCATTCTTTAAATGTTTATTTTATATAATAGCTTGTAGATGTTTAATTCCTCGTATTGTACCGCGTTACTCGCATCGTATCGGCGAAAAATAAATAAACATAGGTTTAAACAGTAAATAAATAATTTCAAGCGGCTAACTTATTCATTTAAGTACTTATTTCGTGTACAAAATTTCTCATTTTTGTCAAGAATCCATATAAAAATAAACCCAATGGTCGAATTTCTTATTCCAATTCACGTGTTTTTGTTTTCACGTGTTAAATATTAATACAAATTCATTCATTAAAGCTACATTGATTGGTTGATTAAATTTGACGTATATTTTGAGAAACTCACGAAAGGAATTATTTTCTAGTTATTAATGAGAATTNTTATTTTGCAAATTAGTAAAATTTAAAATCCTTAAAATTCTTCAAATAATGGAGTAACATCAGAAAAATCTTTCTTATGGCCTTTTATTTTTATATTATTTTTGCATTTATAAACGCAGCATATTGATCATAATAATACATTATAACCGAATCATGTCGCATTAATAATAACTTGTTTCAGTCCATTATGTGGTACCTTGGCGATGCAACTCAATAAATATAGCAAACCGGTATAAAGTATGAATTTTTATCACGTTTATATAAGAATATAATTTTTTTTCTTACTATTAAACTTTCATTAAACCCGAAAATAACAAAAAATCGAAACAAAATTATTACATGATATTAGTTCGTTACTCTTTTTTCAGTTAGATTCAATACTTAACGCTTATCTTACAAAATCTTCGTAATATTTTATAATCTTAAAATTATATTTTTGTTTTTCTGCGAGATAAAACAAGTATCAAAACTCATGAAATAATTAAAACGAAGTAATAAACTAATTCGAATTTAATGTAAAACAAATAAAAACTTTTTTATATGCAGACTAATTCTCTATCTGTCAGCCTATTAATTAATTTTGTTGAATAGAATAGAAATTACTATTTTTAAAATTAATATCAGGCTTCAAAGTTTTTATAAAGTGTGATAACAGGTGGTACCATCAAATGTTGCCAGGAAAGTTAAGCAACTCATTGCTGGATTTTTAAAAGTGTATTTTTGTAATCTGTACAGTTGATACAAAATATATGGTTTAATACAATATCAAACTAACTCTTTCGATCTTACCCGAGATCTGTTGCAAGTTCTTAAACAAATTGTATTCCAAAACCGGAATGCTCAGAATCATACCATTTTTTAAATGCATTAAAATTTTGATTTATGTTCCAAATAAATAAGATCAAAAGCATTAGTTTGATATTGTATTAAATGCTATGTTAATGGAATTAAAGGTTTAGTAATGGTGTTTAGTTATTTTTAAATATAAATGGTCTAAAAATTTCAAATTTATATTGTGCATTATATTTGAGTATTTCTGGTAAAGTTTTCACAAATGGACATATTTTATACAATATTTTAGAGTATTTTGGAGCACTTTAAGAATGTAATAAAATATAAATAATTTATAGCACTGATGAAAATATAGTTTTACGAAGAGAATATTTATAGACATTTTTTAATTTTATTTGAAAAATTAGAAATTGTTTATAAATACTGTATTTAATTTATTTAAAATTTAAGATTTCACTTATTTTTTGTGAACAAGAGTTTTTTTTTTCTTATGTAGGCTAACTAAATGTCAAACTGCTAGATAATGTCAAATAATAATAGAATATGAAATTGCATCAATTATGAAATTATGTTTTTATTTTATATTTTATCTTTGTAAGTAAAATATATTTTGCATTACTTTTATTTGGATTGAAGTTTTAATTAGTGTTAATATTTGTTATCTAATTAATTAAATCATTATTTTTATTTAATATGAAAGCTATGAAATAAAAATAGTATAATGTAGCACCCGTGCTGAATCGCATTCTAATTTTATTTTATAAAACTGCCTGAATTATTTCTTATTGTGTATTTTAAACTACTATTTAATTCAAATTGAATTTGAAAATGCTTTCTTTTAGAGGGGAAAAATTTGAATAAAATAAAATAATAATCTCTAATTTTTTTTTTACTTTTCAGTCCATTTAAAGTATAACATTTATCAAATAAATTTCTATGTAAAGTTTTTGTATTAATAATTATATTGTTTATTAGTGGACTACCTTATTTATTATATTATTGAAAATAAATACATTTTCTTTCATGCATATTCTGGTAGTATATGATTATGTCTTTATTTCATTGTATAATTTAGCAAGTACTGGTAAATAAATTATCTGAAAAATAGTGGTAGAAATATTTTTGTACAATAGCTATTTATTCATTAAAATGAAAAAGATTTAAGTTAAAATAATTTTTTTTTAAACAGCATCAGAAATAAGTTTTCACTAAATTTTTAAGTGAGTGATATCACATTTTAATATTTTATAGTAATATTTTTTTTTTGAAATCTTAAAATAATAATAATTTTAGTTTGATGACAAATTCTTAAAATTGTTCCTAAATTTCCAAAATTAATAGAAAAAATGAATATAAAGAACAAATTTCATTTCTGATATATTAAGTTTAAATGGATAGTTTTTTTTATTTTATTTGAAAATAATAAATAGCAATAACATGAAAAATTATTTAGAAGTAAAATACATACATATTTAAAAAAAAAACATAAATTGTGTTGGTATATACAGCTCTCCTGTATAGTGTCACCTTTTTAAAATACTAATGAGTGCTTGCTTATGAAAAAATTGTCTTCATTAAATATCAAATAGAGAACCTTTCAGTATCTGTGAATTACTGAATGTACAATTTTGCATAGCAAATGATTGTGTTATCATCAAATTGTGTGACATTCAAAACTCTCAAACTTATTAGGCATCATTATTATATATAAATTTTGTTTGAGTTACTTTAGTGTAGCACAAATCTCAATTTACTGTGTGTCAGAGATGAACAAATGATAGCATTTAATCAAGGTTTAACTGTGTATTAAAATGAAAATTATCTGGATTATGTCAACTATAAAATAAAAAAACCATTGTTGTTTTTTATAAACATTTCAAATCAAAAATTTTTAGTGAGTTACAGTATTTATTATTTTTACATAAATTGTTATATTATTGCTGAATATAAATTAATAATTAAAATGCTGTTGCTGTAATTAATAGTTTAAATAAACTATGCACAGAAATTTCTTGTGAGAAATGAAAAGTGACAATTAACATAAATGGAAACAATAATGCAATCTCAAAGATGGTTTTTGTGGTTAAATTTTTAATTTCATGAGAGATTTTTTGTATTAACTTATCATCAGGACGCAAATTTTAAAAAAATTTTACTATCTCAGTTTAAAATGTTTCAATATGTTTATCAATAAATAAATGTAGTTTTATAAAATTTATAAAAATACTGGATATGGATACATTATTATTATTTTTTTAGGAATATTTTGGATTATGATTATGTTTTATCACACTATGTTTTGTTTATGGTATTTTATAATACATGTCACAAATTAAAAAAAAGGATACTTCTAAGAAAGAAAATATCCTAAAATTTATCTAAAATAGTTCTTCAGGTTTCTGTTGTTTCCTAGAAAATATATTTAAAGTTTATGAAAAGTTTCATTAACAGGTCAACAGTTAGCATAAAACAATTTTATGACATTACAGTAAATTGTATTCTTATAAATGATACTAAAATGATTGTTAGACATGTTTTACATGCATTCATAAAATTCATGCAAGTGTAATTAAATATCATTAAATAAGCAGCATTTAGATTCAACTCTAACGAGACATTATATAATTAAATGAAAACACAACATTAGCATAAAATTTCAGAACAAGGATAAATGTAATGAAGATGTGCTTTCATTAGTTGTTGAATTATGATGAATAGCAAATGATTTTATAAGTACGATCTGCATGATTTAATGTGTTAATTATTTTTTTATATAATGTCTTATCGAGTTTATTTTTTTATATAATGTCTTATCAAGTTTTAATTTTTGCTTCTATATTAAAACATTACTTTTCTGAAATATTAGTTGTACTGCTTTATACTTATTTATATACTTATCTGTTTTTCCTTACTCTGTTAATTAGCAAAACTGTTTTCTGTTATTGGCAGCTGATCTACTACTAGTGCCTTCTAGAAGTGATAAAAAAGTTGTAGATATATTTTCTAGGAATCAGAACAAACTTCCTAAATGTTATCTGGATATTTGTTTTCCCCCCTTAAAATCATCTCCCTTTTGCTTGTATCCCAATATTGTGAAGTGTTCATATATAGAATTTTTAT